ACAATTTTTTATATAAGTAATGGATATATAATTAAGAAACAAAAATTATGATTTATTTTATAGTATTACTACATTTGAAAACGTTTCAAATTTTACACTTATTTAAATAACGCAAAACGCTAAATTTTTCAAAACGTTTTAATTGTCAATAACGGTAAACGGAAAACTTTTTAAACGTTTAAATTTGTATAACGTTTAAACGCTTAAATTGAATAACGTTTAAATTATTTATAGCGTTAAACGCTCAATTGCTTATAACGTTTATATGTCCCATAACGATAAATAATATATATTATTTTGATTGAAGACCCAGTCCATACTCAGTGAAAAATTAGATTAGACACAAGGGAAACTTTCAAAACACAGATAGGTGTTAAAAAAGAACTACACAAAAAACAATTCTAAGCGGATCCGGCATCAAATTAAAAAAAAAAAAACCACAAATATTAAGGATTCACCTGATGTAAATATTACCAAAAATTTTACTTGTAAATTTTGAGCCTGAATTAAAGAAAAAATTTGAGTCTCCTCTGTAAGTAAGTCTAAATACGCCCCTGGTCGACGACGGTCGCTTTTAAGTTTTTACTGCGAGCATGACGTCAACACAACTGTTATTTTGAATTTTATTATATAACGATTAGAATTTTATGGCGAACCGTTGCCGAGGGATTAATGTCTGTAAACGTGTACTTAAGCGGTCGACTCTAGTTGTGTGCACGTCAAAACGACCCGATACGCCACGTGCAAAAAAAATAAAACCATACTCAAACTATGTACGCAAACAATATGGTAATATTAATATACTCCTCTCACATGACTCGTGCCAAACACTTCATCACGATGATCACGTGGTGCGTGTACAATTGATAGTATTTGTACTGGGTCATGACGTGTTCGCGCATCACCCGGAGCAGGTTTCTCATCAACAGGTCCGTCTTCAGAGCGGCCGACATCTTTTGCACGACCCGTTCCGACGACACGACCACTGAGTAAAAAAAAAAAAATACCATATTGGTTTTCACATGTTCTTTTCGGTTCCACGTTTTTCCAACGTGTAACACACTGGATGTGCAACAGGACGACGGTGGTATAGGATTACTGACTTTGGACGAGGCTCCGGAGCAACGACTGCCGCAGGAACGTGTCCACGTTCAAGTCGCAGGTGACCAGGTCCATGATGACGGGCACGCAGTCGCTGAGCATCGTCGAGTTGGCCGTCTCCTTTTGAAATATCTCGAACTTCTTGACGTACACGCCCATCCTTCCGCCGGCCATGCGTCCTGCGGCAGAATGCGCGAAAATACGAATGTGTTATGCGAACACGATTGCGCGCGGTTTCCATTTAAAAACGCGCGGCCGCGGCGCATCGAAAACTCGCTGCCGCCCGAACACTTACCGAGCAGAAATTCGCGTCCCTTGATCTCGTCCTGGTCGATCCAACATTTTTCCGCCATACCGCGGCGCGTCCGTGCAACGCGATTAGCTTCGGCTCGCTCTTCGGGTGCGTTCCGTCGACCGACTTGTATTAGAGTTTCACTTCGGTTTTGAATCGTCCGCCCAGAAACACCTTGAACATGCCCACGAAACTTTTAAGCGATCCCGGGACGACGCGAGAAACGTTTTAATGAGTTGCGGGCGCGACTTGCGGGTGTACTCGACGATCGTCGACTGACGTTGCGCGCCGTCATTACGCTCCGTCGGCGGACACAATATCGTTATTTTGTTACATCATGTCGACCTTTGCAGCCGGTGCGTAACATG